CTGCGTTAATAGTTGACAGGATTGGAAGTCCCGAATACGATAGAAATTTAAACTATTCGAAAATATGTAATATTGATTTTTTATTAATGGAACTTTCCAGTTTGTAATACTAAAATTAGTATTAATCTATTTTCAAGAGAACTTCTAGTCCTTGGGACTTCCAAAGACCCTCGTTAAACGTCTCGAAACTCCTTGAATTAATCTCTTCGGCTCAAGGTATCTCGAGGTGATTTGAGGTTAGAATCCCATCACAGCCGGCCATCTTAATAGCTGGCCGCGTTGTTCGAGCCGCGAGAGTGCGCCTCGATCAGACGTGAAAGTACAATTTGTACCGTGGATTACGCGTCAGCAGTGGTGCTCAACCTTTCTCATTTCATTATCCTGTGTTGCACATTGAAGTAAAGGACAAAAGTTTATATCATTTTTCTTTTTATTGAGAAATTTGCACCACTCTGCCGTGTCGTAACACGGTTTAATACAATTTCCTGAAACCCTGCTGTACAACTGCTTTGTTATTCCGACTGACGCGCACACCAGGCGCCGGGGACGAGTTCGACAAACACTCTAGCTCCAGCTCTGCCTCATTGCCAGGTGTGTCTCTTCTCATCTTCTTCTATCTTCTATTTTCCTTCGAATCACTGTAACTGCCATATAGTTTGGTACACTATCGGATGGAAGTGTCAGTGTATGTTTGAATCTACTAAACAGAATGGTTCTCAATTATTATGTTTGTTACATTTTTTTATAAATCAGTTTATTCAGAAATGAGTTGAATGAATTGAATGAATCTTTTATATAAATTTCAAAGAAAAGTTTGAAATTTACAATTACCTCGAATAACCTGAAATCATTGTAGGAAAGCAGATTGTTTTGTTGAAGAAATAATTGTTAGAATATTAATTGAACTATTTAAGAAAGTACTTCTCAACCTTAGAAATTGTCAGAGCAGTGAGATTTTATAATATTGTTTTCCGTTTATTTCTTTTTTCATAAATTGATGTAAATAATTGATGTAATTCATACTTTCGACCGATGGTGTACGATCACGCGTAATGCATAATATTTATTACTATTATTATTATAATATTTTATAATAGTGCCCTACGTTCTACCACTGTGTGATTAAAACGGTTCTCCTTTGTAAAATTTAAGTGTCTCAACCTGCCGTTACAGATGACTCGTACTTAAGGACTGACGTAAAACCACCAAAGTTAGGCAAAGGTGCGGTTCACTACATCTCCACAATTTCTTCCTATATAAGCACCATAAGCATCGCGCCTATCGCCTAGATGTCGCTGTGATCGTACCGTGTGCTAGTCGTCTGCACGCCGCCATCTTTCTTTTCTTAACCCCATCACATGCTTATTTCTTTTGCACACAATATATATATATTACTGCTCGAACGATTCATGCTAACTCTGACTATAAATCTGCAGCTATTAGTGGGGAAAAAATCATTCATGCATCGCCCACAATTCGAATCACATTCACAAAAAATTCCGAATATGAATATTTATATATATGTATTGATTTTATATTTTTAGGTTATGTTCTATGGTTATTTCTTCCCAGCTCTCCTTCCTTCTAAGGGATCGATGATTCTGCATGACTTTTTCTGAATATATCTACACATATTCTTTTAGTGGATCTAATTGTAATTTTTTTCGCTTTGCTGTCGGTTACAGCAACTGTTTAGGTTGTGTGACGGGAGCCTAGTGATTTCCCCAGTGTCAATATAGTTTCTTTTCGGTTTCCCTTTGCCGCCACGCCCCAACACCCCCACCCATTGACCCGGAAACGAGAAAGCACCGCTCGACGCGTTATAGCACCGTTTCTTCTTTCCCCTTTCTCCTTTTTGAAAGTTTTGTCGCGCACGCTCTGCCACGCTTCACCCTGCCCGGCACGGGATCGCAAAAATACGCTGATCAACATCTATTCCAGACAAGTCGGTGTCGTTCGAAAAGTCAGTGTCCTTCAGTGACGAGCCACCAGACATGAACTCTCCCAAACAGCATTCCCCGCAACACGCAGGTAACCATTATACTCGCACTTTTGCACATTACTGTACCAGAGCGCGAAGAGCAATTCTATTGGCGCGTTCAAGATCTAGCCACGCCTCCCACTCGTCTGAGAACCAGTGGTTCTCAAACAATTTTAGATTAACGTCGATGCACGTACCCGTTTAGAACAGTGATTCTTCATATTACTAATACTAAAAAATTGGAAACAATAGAAAGATAGCAAAAATAATTTTCAAATATTGCTTTCGAAATATTATTTACTGAAAAAGTATTAACTCTTTGCACTCGACAGGTGACTCTCAGTCACCATTTGATTTGACATAGCAAAATTGCAAAATGTCGTATACAATATTAAGTTTTGTATAATGCATCAAAAAATGAAATTTTTATATAAATTAGCTTTGTTTGAAAAGCTTTGGAGTGCAAAGGGTTAACAATTCATATCAAGTATATAAAATAGCACAAATATATTTTCTTACCAAAAATTCTACAAGCTTTCAGTAATCATTTACTCCAAAGATACGTGCATATTCTTGCAACAAATAATTCAGATAAATTATTCAGCCTCATTTGAACAAATCAAATATCCTTGAACGCTACGATAAAACTGATCTCCGCCTCAAGCACCTCCTCCCGGTAAAATCGGGTCGTCCGAATCTGCGGTAAATCGACGAAACGTTGGAGCCAGTTGGGATTCCCCATAGATCGTTCCTGCGTTTCACGAAATCACGATCGTATCCGTTGAGACAGACGATAATCCGCGAACGAGCGGTTTACCGTCACGCTCCAATGTTTCCTCGACACGGGACTCAGACGAGGCAAGACCTACGTCGATGATTGGTCAAATACTAACGCAATAATCTCTAACCTAACTTCTCGTGCAATGCCTACCACGACTAGCGGACACTAAGCCAACGAAACCGGCGATCAAATCCTCCACGTTGCCGAGGATGTCTTCGCAAGGTAAACCCGTCCAGCGTTTCTACTATGTGTGTCGCGGAACCGGTATCGATTTTTCGTTCATGATCGCCCGGAACTGTTTCCCTAACCATACTTTTTTTCGGTCGTTCGTCCGCCATCTTGTGTTCTCACCTCCACGCACTCTTATGTGTGCCATAACCTCTCATCCATCATTTTCTCGTGTCAATCGTCTCGCCCCATGTGCAGCAACTCTTTCCTCGCGTCTCTGTGGCTCCGAGAGAGTGCGATCGAACCGAGAAACTCGTTTCGTTATGTAAAATGGAAGAGTAGAAAAAAATGGCTTGGCCCGAGAAATGCTGTGTTACAGGAATAAATTCGAGATCGATTGTGCAGTAACGAGTTCGCTTTTCTTGGACGTGTTACGTATTTCTATCCGCCTTGTCGGAGTGATTAAATGGTTCCGTTATGGCGAGTTAATTTCGCTCTTCAGACTTGGGTAATTTCTTCTTCCGCGTAGTGGTTCGAGGCTTTTGTAATTTTACTGATGTATACGTAGAGTACACATTTTTTAGAAATTTACAACACAAGATTCACTAAAATTTCATATCATTTTTCAAATTCCAAGTTTCCAATGCCGTATTTATTTTCAATTTATCAGTAACACAGAAAATGGGAATATGTAGAGTACACATTTTTTAGAAATTTACAAGACACAAGGTTCACTAAAACGTCATGTAATTTTTCATATTCCAAGTTTTCAATGCGGTATTTATTTTCAATTTACCAGTAACACAGAAAATCGAAATTCTCTTTCAAAATTTCCCTACGAAAATAATTTCCCAGAATCTACTTATAACAAGAGAGCTCAATTAAAAGTAACGATTTATTTTCCCAAGTTTCGTACGTAATTTCGATCAAAAATGTTCCAAATTTATTTAGTTAATAATTCATTTATTAACTTGCGCGTGGCATACAAATTCGATTACATTAATGAAAACGTAATATTTATTTTCACTAGTATAATATTAAAATGTTTGAAATAAAATCTATTGTGGAATAAATATTCGAGCACAAGTGCTTAAGTTTCTCGTGCCGATCGCGCGCCATCTTTGACGCAACCGGAGGTTTCTATTGGACGGAGAATCGCTCGAAGGTAAAATCAACCCCCCGGCAACATCATGGACGCGCGTTCTCATCCTGCTTCCGTCATCGAGCCAATCAAACGCTGACACTTGAGGCGACAATAAAATTGTCCGTCCGTCTCTCCCTGCCTCCCTCCACCCGCTTTCCTAGTCCGGTTTCCTCTCCCCTGCCGTTTGATCGTGCGAAAGGCGTCGAATTTAACGAGTGACAAGTGGCGTCAGCTCGCCGAATTTAACGAGCATTGTTTGCGGTGACATAATTGAGCCATCCACGTTCAAGGATGAACCGATTGGTTTCGTTACACTGTGCAACGCCAATGTTGACCTAGTAATAATTCTATGAGCGATTCCCGTTGCGTTTCCTGTTTAAAAATCGAATCTTATTCTTTGAAAAAGTTAATTTTAATAAAAGAAATATAATATTTTTAAATTAAAATATATTTAGTAATAATTATAAACCTCCGTAAAAGTTTCTCATTTCTCCAAAATGAGATGATACGTACATGTATTATTGAAACATCATAAATATTTGAACGAATTAACCCTTTGCACTCGAGAGGTGACTCTCAGTCACCATTTAATTTAATACAGCAAAACTATGAAGTTAAATATTTAGTACTTTAAATTAAACTTTGTATTGTTATGTGAAATATTTAAGTAAAATATCTTTGTTGCGTAATTTATCTGTGAATTATCGTTAGATTAGGTTCAAACAACGTCGTCTACATCTCGTCGGAAAATGTTGAATATTTCCAGAAAAAAAACTTTCGAGTGCAAAGGGGTAAAATAATGTTTCAAATGAATAAACATATTTCAAGGTTGATGCTTAAGGACACCATTACTTCTTTGTTGAAGTTGAGAATCACTGACTTGTACTTCGTGCCTTGTAAGGCTGTTTTACCTTTTAAATAAAAACTATAATCTGTTCTGCAGCTTCCGTTTAGCTTAGAGTTAAGTTAAAAGTTAATGTTTATTTGACAGTATTATTAAAAATGTGGAAATAACTATCTGAATGTTTATTATCGAACGTTTTCTATCGAAAACATTTTACTTTCTTTATCAATGAACAAACCTACAAAATTAACGAAGAATATGTTTCGAATCGTTGATAAACAACAGACGATTTTCGCACGGTTCAACGGGCGTAAGTCCGAAAACTTTGAACTCGTGCTTGTGGACAACGTGAGTATTGTTATTGGTAGAGTCCCGTTTGAACCTGGCCTCAATCGTTTCAGAGAGAGACAGGCACAAACCGACTCCGCCACCGAAGCCAGCCGCTCTGGTCGCCGGACAGTATGTTTACCGAGACCTAGCTCTAACACCGGAAATGTACAACCAGCTGCGAGGCTTGCAGAAGAAGGCGAAGGATCTCAGGCAAGAGGTTAGAAACCTGAGGCGTATGTCTCAGGCACAGGCACACACCGTCAGAGAAACCATCAGAGACACATTCATCACCATTAGGTATCTAGAAATCAACTGTTCAACTTTGCCTTGGTTTTCTTGATGAGTATGGTCTCTAATTGCCAATGGGCTACAGGGCCATGTTGCTGTCGGGTGGAGATGCTGCTTGGTCAGCTGGGGACGCGGAGAAGGTTCGACTGAGCCGCGAGGAAGACCTCTACAAGCAGGAGATGCTGAGGCTGGAAAAAGATCTGACGTAAGTGTCCCCTTTAACCCTCTGTAGGCCCATGTAACATTGAAGTCACATATCAGTATATTGGCATCTTCTTGTTTTATTTCATTTTGCACTCAAAGTGGTGAATAAAATCAAGTAATCAGTTAACTTGAACTTTCATACACTCAGGCGTGAAAGTTTGACGTCATTATAACTGGAAAATTACAAAATATATTCGTTTGATGAAATTATGGGAACTATTGAATACATTGGTAATTCATATTCATATGTGGATATTTATTAATTTTATACTGCATAGATTTTGTTATAATGAACAATTCGGCCCATAGAAGGTTAACCTAACCATTGAAGGCAGGTGTGTGCTAACAGAAACTGATGCTTTTCAGCGAGCTGGAGAGCACGGTGGAGGAACTCCGTGGCAACGTCATCAACAGGAAAACGCGTGTCAATATGTCGGACGTGGAGAACATGGCCTTGATCCTCAGCAAATCAAGGTGAGAAATCTAGCATACGTTTGTAGTCAGTGCCCTCTTCCTCCTCCTCCTCTTCTTCTTCTTCTATATTTCTTCTCGCCTTCATTTGTTCAGTAAAACGGTAGCGGATTTGAAGGTGCGATTCCCGAGTCTCCAAGAGGGTTTGAAGGGTCTCTTGAGCTCCGAGATGGAGAAGGTAGTGCGCGAAGAGAAGTTCCTCAAGGAGGAACCAGAGCGACTCGAGTCCGCGTTGAGGCGCTGCAAGAAGCTTACCGGTACCCTCGTGACGCTCAAACGGTACGTGACCTGGCCCAAACCTAACCTAGACCTGACAAAATTTGAAGGTGATGACATAGAGAGGTGGCGGATCTTATGAAGCCGTAGACAGAAGCCTTTCTTGTAGGCCAGTGTTAAGTAGGATTTTCTGGTCGTCTTTAGAATTCCAAAATCATTCAGATAAGGTCCAACAGGATAGCTAATTTCGAACAATTGTCCAATTCGATGCTAATCAATCTTTAACCCTTTGAAGACGAATGTCGTCATTTTGTCATCAAGTTTTCATATTCCCAATACGAAGTTATGAACGAATAATCAATTTGTTCAAATAAAGAGATCAGTGATTAGTTTCCTTTTTCTCTGGCATTTAAGATTTCAGTGTACAATTTAATGTCCCTTGCGAAACGCATTAAATACTTCAAAAAATCCTCGTCCGCAAAGGGTTAACCCTTTGCACCCGAGAGGTGATCCTCGTTCACCGCCAGATTTCATAACTTTGTTGCTCAATGTACGTGTGATTTCTCTTCGAGTTAGTTTCACAAAATATCATCTTTACCTCGTCAGAAAATGTTAAAGTATTTCTAGTGAAAAACTTCCAAGTGCAACGGATTAAGCTACCTATTGTTCAATAGCAGTTCGACTATTGGACCTAATCCCACTATCTCACTGTGTCCTTACTTCTAGTGGGAGTTCCAACGATTAATAAATGAAAAGTTGCGGATTTGAAGCAACACTTGTCTGTCCACAGCTTGGCGTCGGTGCAAGAGCAGCGATTACCAAACGCGGCGAGCGTGGATGCCGAGGAGACGCCTCCCATAACACCTACGTCTGCCCAACATTCCAAGGTAAAGCTCCACTTGTCCCAGCTGCTCGCTCGCTCTCTGTCTTCCCATTCTTTTTCTCTTTCAGTTTCTCTCACTCTCTCTCTATCTCTCTCTCTCTCTGTCTCTCTCTATCAATCTTTCTCACGTCTGTCTATCTGTTTATCTGTTTATTTGTCCTAAGGATCCTTCCCCCTCCCACTCCCAGTCCCAAGCTACTTCCAGTGCATGAAACCTCCAGATCGTGATCCCGAAACGATCCCCAAATATCCAGTAATGTCGCGCTTCGAGAAACCTCTTCGTGAAGGAAGAAAAAAAATGAACAGCAGAATTCGATTCACGGGAAATTCAATTTCGACCAGCCACGACACGTCGATTGATCGAGTCACGAAGAACGATCAAATTTTCTGCAACCTGAAATCCTTCTACTCGACGCGGTCTGTGTTTCAAACCCGAAAGTTAAAATTTCTCGCGCCTTCCCTCGTCGACTGCTTCCCCGTGGAATAATACCCTTGAACGAAACAAGTCCCCCGGCGAAGTAGACACGTCGATGACACCAATCCACGCTTTGTAGATCTCTTTCTCTCTCTCTTGGCCTAACAGAGTAAAACGATGTGTGGTATCTCTTGCAATGACGTGTATCAAGTCCGACCACCGCTTACCTCCGTATCCTATTATGCTAATAAGCGCATGCACCGAGTGATATAGAATTTTGTCTACACATGTATATTCATATACATATGTGTGTATATACAGAAGAGGGCCTGAAAACTGGGCCCTCCGTTCGCGAAGATAGAAAAAGCACAGGACTTCGCACTGTGTGAGATATCACACTGCAGGCGTTTAGTTCACCCACGCCACAGTTAGATGGCCAAAGACTTACTTGTTTTTCTCGAAAGTATGTTCATATTATACCACTGTGTACACTGTACATTCTTTAGCTCCGAGAATACATAAAGTTAATTTTTCTATCTTCGATAAAGGGGGAACTTCGACTACCCAGTTTCCTGGCCTGTGTATACTTGACGGCTGTATTCGTATATATACATACATGTATGTATATGTACATCTATACTTAATTTTTGTATTCGTGTAATACGTGCTCGTGTACTTTGTATTGAGTACTGTACATACGCACGTGTGTTTGTACGATGAACGCCCCCTCACCGCGACAGTTCGTGGGGCCAAGAATGTGGTAAAACGATTCTGGACTGTCACCTCGCGAGATTTCTCGCGTCAGAGGATCGGTTCCCTTTGAGTTCGACGAGTTTATCCGCCTATCGCGAATTGGCAACGAGAGTACACTCGGCGTGGATCGGTAGCGAGGGGAACACAGATTTCCTCCACTACTCGTGCCGCCGATTGTCGGGAAAGATAGAGGGCTCCACACGATCACCTCGGTCAGTAAATTGTCACCGGGTGTACACGCTCCAAAAGTCTCTAGATTATCATCTCCGACGCTTGGTCGATCCTTGTTCTCGGTGCACGAAATCTAATGTAAACCTTTCCTCAGGGAACACAGCGCGTGACTCGTTTCGGGGGGGAAAGAGCCCGTAACCACGAAACACCAAATTTCATCGCGATCCCGTGCGAGGCAGTGCTCCACTAGGGGAAGGGGGCAGTGCGGGGTGAAAGGAAAAGCTGATTCCGTCCAGCGACACGAAATTTCATATTGCGATTCAGGCTGTTTTCTTTTTTTTTATCTTTTTTTTTATATATGTCTAAGGAGAGGGGAGGGGATACAGCGACTTCCGATACGTTTCCCGATCAGAAGGACAAGATATGCGCGAACTCTCCTCCAAACTTGTCTCTCTGTGTGACATCGGACCCACTTCCACCCTAATTAACCCCCCACAACCAATATTTTTCAGTGTTTGCTGTGTCCCGAATAGTATAGATATTATTTTATAATACGTTTAGCGTATATGATGTGACAAGACCGACCACGCCTCCTATAGAGTGGGCGGGGCGACGACTGACACGCGTCGGCCTTGTCAGATCATTTTTCTCAGTGGTAGCTGTGACTTAAGGAAAATACGAATATTGTTAATGGAAGAACAAGAAAGCAGGATACGTAAGAAAAAACGAGAGAATCTGCGTCGCGACGAGAGAGTCGGTTTTGGTTCCCTCTTCTGTTTTGCTTGCTCGCTGAAAGGGTATCTCGCTCTTTTATCTCTTTTTTCCCCGCTGTTTCTCATACTCTATATTTCTATCTTTGTCTCTCTCCCTCTTTCTCAATCTCAATCTCTCTCTCTTTTTCTCTCTCCCTTTGTCTTACTCTGTTTCTCATTTTTCCGATGATATTACGAGCGAAGCAAGAGGTTCCGATACCGGATTCTGAGTCGTTTTACATTAGAGGAAAAACATACTGTGCACGGGGAATCGCAAGCGACGCGGGTTACGTCTGAGAAATTGAACAAATTAAGGAATATATGCAAAGCGTCTCGTAATTGTTTGTTGAAACTGACGTCAGACGATTCTGCCTTGGAAACTTCATCGAACATGTGAAAAGAATTTTTTTCGTACGACGCACCGTTCACGAGAAAATCGAGTTAGAAAAATTGACCAATGCGCGCTCTACGTTCCACTCATTTTCAACGCGCGTACGCGCAATTTTCGATCTTGATTTTCTCGCCAACGAAGCGTCGTACGAGAAAAATTCTTTCTACACTTTCGACTGCATTTCTCCTGTAGAATCATTCTTTCGTGTTGTCTCGCTGATCGCGTGACGCCCCGCATATATGCTTCACTAAATATATTCTCTCTCTTTATATATATATATATATATTATATCTCTCTTTCTCTCTCTTTTTTCCTTTGTAATGAAAACCTATAAGTGTAGGTTACAGACTACAGAATAGTGAAAAAGTGATATTAATTTTTTAGTATGGCTGGAAGTGGAGTACTAATTTCAAGGAGGCCATACAGACCAGTCACGAGTAATTTTTTACTGATTCATATTTATAAATTATTAATTATTATTATTAATATTTCTATTTATTATTCTTATTATCATTATTATTATTATTCTGTACTATTTTATATATTACATATATATATACATTTATATATATATATACATATATATATTAATATATATATATTTGCCCATAAGCCCACGCCATACACATACGTCCAAACATACATATACATACACATAGACATTTATATATACGTATATATAAATATACACTTATATAAGTATATATAATATATATATATTCTTTTTCGTCGGTATAATGTCTGCCGCACAAATCATCATATTGTTTATAGCTGTTTATCCTTAGCGACAGTCGAAGCATTTCGGCGAGTCGAATTTCCGAATCGCTCGACGCGTAACGTGATCAGAAAATCCGCCGGAATTCTTCGAATTTCCGCCGCTGTGAACACACATTTACACTCATTCTACCTGTCTACACCTTACTCTCGAGCTTGTTCCGAGATTCAAAATTTCCCGCCGTATGACTCGTGCGATCCCGTGACGCACTTACCGGGAATTACCCGTCGCCGTTAAATCGTCGCGACCGAACCGCTGCCGAAACGACGTTACGTAGCCGACGTTCTCTCACTGACAGTGTTTTGCATCTTTTAATGAAACTTAGAGCTTGATCATTTCTGTCCTCGCTACCAACCTGACCGCTTCAGAGATATGCGTCCGAGACACGCGTACCAACCCCGGGGAACTCCCCGCGCCATAAAATCCGCGCTGAACGATTCGCCGCTCTGTGCTGCGCGCTACGCTCTCTCTCTCTCTCTCTCTCTCTTTATCTCTCTCACTTGGCCAGTCGTCCCTTTGACTCACTTTATTCTTGTACTTTTGCAAAATCTCTCTGTCCCTCTTTCTTTTCTCTGTTTTTCTACCTCTCAGTCTCTTTTATTTTTCTCTTGCTCTTCTTATTTGTTCTTCATTTTTCTTTACTTTTCTTTTCTATATTCTCACGATCTGTTTCCTCGTGGACGCATAAAACCATCTCGAGGCGTTTCGCGCGTGCGCGTCGTCGATTACGAAACGATCTCGATTAGCTCGGGGACAGGGTTGGCAGCCCTGCACGAAACCGCGTGAAGGTAGAACCGAAGGACAAGAACCGCTCGTTCCAATCCAATTTCTTATAGTAAGG